AGAGGCGAAGTCAGCGACAGCAGCAACAAGCGCGTCAAGGCGCGAGACGGGAACAGACGGGTCGGTAACAAGAGAGGCAAGGACCCGAGGGACAAGGGGACTAGCAGCACGGAGGTAGTCAGAGAACGGAGGAGGTGCAACAGCAAGGGACGAGGGAGGAGGGGACGGGAGGAGGGGAGGACGAGCCGAGCGGGAACGGAGCAACATAGGGTGGGTGGGCAGGACAGGAGAGACAGGACGAGCACGGGAGGGACGGCGAGCCCAAACGTGAGACGGAGGTGTAGGGTCAGGGGACAGCGGAGGAGACACAGGAGGGGAACGAGGAGGAAGACGGGCCGGAGACGAGTCCGGCGGCGGGAACATAGGACCGTAGACAGGAAGGTCAACAGGCGGGGGGGAGACACCGGCGCGCTGTCCGGGGAGGGAAGGCCGAGCAGGCGGAGAGCGGAGACCGGCGGCGACGGCTGCTGCGGCGGCGACGACGGCTGGGCCGGAACTCTCGGACCAGCAGAGGCAGAACGACCGTCGGAAGAACCTCAACAGCAGCACCCCCAGAAGCAGCACCCCCAGAGCGAGAACCCCCTCCAACACCAGCGGCACCCCCAGAAGCCAAGAGCGGCGGCGGCAGTGGCGGCGACGACTACGGCGGCGACGGCTGCGGCGACGGCTGCGGCGGCGACGCAGCGGCGGCTACAGCAAGGTTGCGACTGTGACAGTGGGGGCGGAGGCACCAGGGAAGGGGGACGCGGCAAGGACAGACCGAGGGAACCACCAGAGTCAGCAGACTCCTCAACGGGTACAACCGACAGGAGGGGAGTGATGTGAGAGACACCAGACGGGGCAGGACGAGGCGGGGGAGGGGCAGGGGCTCCGAGGGAGAGGGAGCAAGGAACAGGGGGGGGGGAGAACTCGGGGGAGGGAGGAGACCTCGGTACGTGAGGGGAAGCGGGAGCGGGTGATAGAAGGTCAGACGACCGAGGAGACATCGTCATAAGGGTCAACGTCGACAGAGAGTGGAACGAAGCGTCAGGGACGGCGGGGTCGGCAACCGGCGGGGACCATGGCCAGGTTAAGCGGCAGCGTAGCGTGGAGGACCAATGCCGGATCAGCGACGCCAGTCATCCAGGTCATAACCCCATGATTGCTGCTGTGGCGAGTCCGGCAAGGTGTACGCCTGGGTGATGCCCTCCGCACGACAGAACTGTCCAAGCCGACCAAAGGCGAACTCGCCGCCACGGTCAGAGTGGAGACACAACACGGGGAGACCGCGGTGAAGACGCGCAGCCACAACCCAGGGGAGAAGAACGTCGGGCACGTTGGCCTTCCGCTCCAGGGGAAACACCGTGGTGTAGCGCGTGTAGTTGTCGACGAGCACAAGGAAGTAGCGCTCACCGCGCGGTCCGGTGACGGGGGCTGGGCCCCAAACGTCCAGGTGCAAGGTCTGGAGGGGGGCAGTGGCCGGGCGCAGCGAGGAGGAGTGGGGGGCACGGCGGAGCCGGCCCTCGACGCACGGCGTGCACGGTGGCGCAGTCGAGGGAGGAAGGGCAGGGAGCGACGCAGGGAGACCTAAGACAAGGCCGTGCTGGGACATGTGACGCAGACGCGGGAGAGCAGGGTGACCTAAGCGGTGGTGCCAGAGAAGGGAGGGGTGAGTGAGGGACGGACACGAGCAAGCTGCAGCGACCTGGGAGGACGCACGAACCGGGGGGGAAGCGGTGTCGAGGGTAAACAGACCGGACACCGGGTCCCGGGGGAACATCGCAAGGGGGGAACCTGAGACAGCCTCAGAACAGACAGCGAACTGCTCGTGTCCGGGGAACGTGGTGGTAACGCCGAGGTCTTGGAGACAGCCGACATTAACCAGGTTCCTGGAGAACGAGGGAACGTGGAGGCCAGTAAGGGAGCCCGAGGGAACTGCCGGACAGGGAAGAGACGTAGAACTGCGCGCGACGACAGGACCCGCAGAGGGGTCAGCGAGAGAGACAACTGCAGGTGCAGCGAGCGGCGTGAGCGTGGACCGGTCGCGGAAGAAACAGGCAGAAGCCCCGGAGTTGAGAGTGAAGGACAGCGACGCAGTGGCGGAGGCCGGGGACGGAGCCTGTGCAGCGACTAGACTAGGCAACCTAGGCAGTCCTACGCCTGACGCAGCAGGGGAAGCAAAGCTACACAACGGTGCAACACCTAAACTAGAGTACACAGGGTAATAAGATCCAGCAACACTAGAAGCATCAGAATACAAGGCATGCACAGCAGCACCTATCTGATCCATGTCTAACTCAAAGATCGGCACGCCCTGGCGGAGTAGGCTGTGCCAGTCGGGGAGGTCCGGGGCCGGGCCAAAGCGACGACGAAAGAGATCGTCGAGGCGGCGTAAACAGCGGGCGGTCGCCTGCGGGCGGCGGCACAGAGTGCCGCGAAGAGGCCCGGTCTGAAGCTGGTACTGGCAGGTGACAGCACTGGAGCCGCCGGTAGACGCCAAGCTGCGCGGGCCGCCACCACGGCCACTACCTCCAGAGGTGCCGGGCCAAACAGGCGGGAGACGGGCCCACTGCTGCGGCGACTGCTGCTGGGACGGCGGCTGCGGCTGGGGCTGCTCCTGCTGCGGCTGGGGCTGCTGCTCCTGCCCACCAGTGGTAGTCGCCGCAGGTGGACTACCGTCACCACTACCGCCACCACCCCTACCTCCCTGGCGACCACGGCCACCACGGCGCGAGCGCTGCTGCGGGTGGACCGCACCAGCCGTCTCGGTGAGAGGGGCCGCTGAGGCGACCGAAGCCGAAACGTCAGTGAACGTACACTGAGAGGGGGCACAACTGTGAAAGATAGAAACTGCCGGCGCACCGCTCGACTGAGCAATAGTACGCTGGCGAGTCTCGATCTCTGTGAGGGTATCGACAAAGGCAGTAAGGGTGAGGTCACCCGGGTGCTGGCTAAGGAAGTGATCGCGGGCACTAGCGAGGCGGTCTGGCAGGCGCATGGCGATAAAATAGAGCATCATGCAGAAAGGGGGGGGGAGTGCAGTGAGCTGGGCATCAGTGCTGGCAGTGCGATAGCGGGTCTTAGGGCACGCAGGTGAGTGGCAAAGTCTGCGACGGTAGGGAAAGCTGCAAGGTCTGGGAAAAGCATAGGGAAGAGCAGGCGGCCAGCAGAAGCAGACACGGGTGTGGAATAGCGAGCAATAACAGCGTCTAAGTAAGCTTTGGCCGTGTCAATAGTAGCAAAACGCGAGCGCTCAGAGACAGGGAGGGCGTGGCTAATGGCAACCTGAGCGACTGCATCGCGGGAGTCCCAGACCGCACGGGCAAGCGCGGCAGTAGAGAAGGCCTCGCAGTCATCAAAGGAGGAATCAGCAGGGAGGGGAGCAGGGGCGGGGGGGCGGGGGAGCAAGCCGTCGACATGGACAACCAAGGAGTGGCCATCCTGGCGCTGACCTGTAAGGTGGCGGCGGAGATCGGAGAGCCAGTCGGCGAAGTCAATCGCATGGCCCTCGGCGTCCAGTCGGAGCACGAAGTCCGCCATCGTGCAGGGTCAGCGGCACAGCTCCACAGGAACACAGCGACACAGGAACACAGCGACAGCCCCCTCCAGCACGGCGGCCGCGAAGCGCCTCAGCATGGGCGAGCAGGGAGGGGAGGGGCCAGGCAGGTGCGGTGGGGGCCAGGCAGGTGCTGGCGAGGCGAGGCAGGCGCGGCGGGTCCAGGCAGGCGCGGCAGGGCCAGGCAGGTGCGACGGGGCCAGGCAGGGGCGGCGGGGCTAGGAGGCGCGGCTGGGCAAGGCAGGGGTGGCGGGGGCGAGGGGCGGCGGGGCCAGGCGGCGCGGCAGGGCCAGGCAGGCGTGACGGGGCCAGCAGGCGCGGCGGGGCCTAGCAGGCGCGGCGGGGCCAGGCAGAGGCGGCGGGGCCAGGCAGGGGCGGCGGGGCCAGGAGGCGCGGCAGGGCCAGGCAGGCGTGACGGGGCCAGGCAGGCACGGCGGGGCCTAGCAGGCGCGGCGGGGGCAGGCAGGCGTGACGGGGCCAGGCAGGCGCGGCGGGGCCTAGCAGGCGCGGCGGGGCCAGGCAGAGGCGGCGGGGCCAGGAGGCGCGGCAGGGCCAGGCAGGCGTGACGGGGCCAGGCAGGCACGGCGGGGCCTAGCAGGCGCGGCGGGGCCAGGCAGGCGTGACGGGGCCAGGCAGGCGCGGCGGGGCCTAGCAGGCGCGGCGGGGCCAGGCAGAGGCGGCGGGGCCACGAGGCGCGGCAGGGCCAGGCAGGCGCGACGGGGCCAGGCAGGGGCGGCGGGGCCAGGAAGGCGCGACGGGGCCAGGCAGGCACAGCGGGGGGCGAGGAGGCACGAGGGGCCCAGTAGGGGCACTGCGGGCTAGGAGGCGCGGCAGGGGCCCAGGAGGGGCACTACGGGCTAGGGGGCACGACCGGGGCCCAGGAGGGGCGCGACGGGGCCTAGTAGGCGCGGAAGGGCCTAGGAGGCGCGACGGGGCCTAGGAGGCGCGACGGGGACCCAGGAGGGGCGCGACGGGGCCTAGGAGGCGCGGCAGGGCCTAGGAGGCGCGACGGGACCTAGGAGGTGCGACGGGGGGGCCCAGGAGGGGCGCGACAGGCTAGGAGTCGCGATAGGGGCCTAGGAGGGGCGCGACGGGGCCTAGTAGGCGCGGAAGGGCCTAGGAGACGGGGCCTAGGAGGCGCGACGGGGACCCAGGAGGGGCGCGACGGGGCCTAGGAAGCGCGGCAGGGCCTAGGAGGCGCGACGGGACCTAGGAGGCGCGACGGGGGGGGGGGGCCCAGGAGGGGCGCGACAGGCTAGGAGTCGCGATAGGGGCCCAGGAGGGGCACGACGGGGCCTAGGAGGCGACGGGGCCTAGGTGACAGCACGACGGGGCCTAGGAGGCGACGGGGCCTAGGAGGCGACGGGGCCTAGGTGACAGCGCGACGGGGCCTAGGAGGCACGGGCAGAAGCGGTAGGTGGGGGGTCTAACCTACAGGTGATACCATGTTAGAAGAAAAACTGAATAAGTGTTGAATAGTGAGAGAGAGAACAAGGGTATATACCTTAGAGTGTTGTACCCTCTAAGAGGTAACCCTATACAGTCTATACAAATATAAGTTATGCATATATTTGACACTACTATCTAAGCCAAGCAGGAGCCTTCCGGGCTTGACATGGTGTTCTATACTGGTGGCAGGCAGGCAAGCACGCATTTGGAGCCCACCCCGGCCGTTGACTGAGTGGCACATACACGGACGCCCGTCTACAGTTGTATACACATATTTGAAACATGCAGTCACACGGCGAGAGATTCCCGCACGTGAGGGAGGTGTCGTTGATGGGCCACTGAGGCGGGGGGCAGACGCCAGGAGGGGCAGTGCAGGGGGTGCCTGTAAGGGGCTTTAAGAACATGCGACCACGGCAGGCAGATTCGCAAGGGCTACAGGCTCCCAATTTAAACGGCATGGCATATGCTTTTTTTGCCGCACACCCGCTGCCATAGGTCACCCCGTCGGCCCCACAAACAACAGAAGTCGCCATCGGGCAGAGGTCGGAAAATATCCGGTTTTTGCAGGGTATCAGGAGCAGTTGCCCTTGGGAGATGGCAGAGTCGTCGCAGGAGGGGAGGGTGTTGGAGGAGCAGATGGAGGTGGGGAAGGTGTTATTCAGACAGAGCGTGTTGAAGTACTTGGAGATGGATGCGAGGGTGTCGTTGGCAACGACGGTGTACGGAATGACGTCGGACGAGAGGGAATCGGTGCTGAATGCCTCGATTGCCCCGGCGATGCAGACCTGCTGCCCAATCTGGAAGTAAGGCGGGTCACACTGGGGGGGGAGAGGGAGAGGGAGAGAGGGAGGCAGCAGCACACAAGAACACAGGAGGAGCAAGGTCAGAACGACAGAAATCGTGATGAGAGGAGAATTGGTGGCAGGGAGGCCATAGATGGGCTTGATGGCACAGACGAACGGAAGCAGGGAAACTTTCCGTACTATACAGGGTTCAGAAGGCGGACTTAAAAAGGGGATGAAAGAGCATACCCTGAGGCCCGGATTGAGCTTCATAAAGTCGTCCATGGAAAGCAGCGCGGCGTTGGCGATGTGCAAGCAGGTGTCGGCCTGCGTGACCGAGTACCACTCCGCACACTCCACCGCCACCAGCTCCACCGTGAGAGGTGCAATGCAGAGTGTGAGCGAGGGGTCGAGCGGGTCCGTGGACGCACACCGCAACCCGGGATTGAGGCTGTTGGGGGGGGGGGGAGGACGAGGAAGGAGCACATAGCAGGGGGGAAAGTGGGTTGGAAGCAGCTTAGTACTCATGATTGAGGTTGTGAGGGAGGGTCGGGAGAGGCGAGCCGGTGGTTGGGAAGGGTGCGAGAAAAGCAAGGAAGGCAACGGAGAAGGGCTACAAAAAAGGGGTGGAGAGAGGCTGAAGCAGAGGCAGAGGCGAGGAGCAGAGTGAGAGGCAAAGGCACGGATGAAGCCAAAGTCAGTCAGAGGACTCACAGCATGAGCCTCGAGAGCGAGATGTTGGAGTTAACCGCCACGCCCATGCAGGTGTCTCCACTCTGCACTCTGTACGTCTGCCCGCACGAGACACTAGCCGGCATGGTGGTGGACAGCATGCCGGACCGCACACACACCGTGGACGACACGCGGAGCGAAGACGCTGGCAGCGAGCAGTTGATGCTGGGGTTGAGTGCTTGTAACACCTTGGTGGTAACGTTGTTACGCGCGGCGAGGGTGGTGCAGGAGTCGGCTGGGGCTATAAGGTCCATGGCGGCGCAGCCGAGGGAGAAGTTGGTGCCAGCCACTATGAGGATGAAGCCGGGCGTGAGGGGGGGGGAGGAGCAGTCGAGGAACGGGTTCTTGGCCTCCAGGAAGGCGGGCGTCACGTTGAACGCGCGGGCGAGAGACTGGAGGAGGGGAGGAGATAGGGAAGGAGATGGGAGAGGGGAGATGGGAGAGGAGGGAGGGGAGAGGGAAGGGAGATGGGAAGGGGAGAGGGGAGAGGAGAGCGGGAGAGAAACGAAGGGGGTGGGAAGGGGGGTGTGAGTCGGAAGATCAGGTGGGAAAGAGAGTGTGGATGCAGAAGAGTGGCAGAGAAGGGAAGCAAAGGGGAGGGGGTGGGTGGGTGGGCTCTTTACCTCGCAGGTGTCGCCCGCTGCAACCGTGTGAGTCTGCAGCCCGCTCTGGAACGTGCCCAGCACGCACGTCATCGCGCCGTCCGTGCGCGCTCCAATCACGGAGCCCTGCGCGACACACGCGGAGAGAGGGAGTTGTGGTGGGGGAGGGAGAGGACGGGGGAGAAGAGCGAGGGGGGGAGGCGCATGAGAAAGCGATTACTGGAAGAAATAGGGGCAACGCGGGCCAAAGGGGATGAGGAACGAGGGGAGGGGGCGAGGAGGGGAGAGGAGGGAGGGGAGTAGAGAGGTGGGGAGGGGGGGAAAGGAGGCAAAGGGGCACCGTACCGCGGGGCAGGAGCAGGTGTAGCTGCCGTCGAATTTGTTCGAGCACGTTCCCAGGCCGCACGGGTTCGGATTCGCGCCGCACGGATCAGCCCGCGCGCATTTGGGCGGCCCGGTCGATTCCCTTCTCTCGACGAATCCCGCGGGGCAAGTGCACCGCGGCGCGCTATCCGAATCCAACCTGCACGTGCCTCCCCCGCACGGCTGCGGGCGAACGTTACACGGGTTCGCGTTACTTCGCGAATCGTAAAAAGTTGGGTACACGGCCGGTTCGCTGTGGATGTTGCACTTCCCGCGCGGCTCGCTTTCGCCCAAAATCGGCAGCTTCATGTAACCCATTTCGCCCCACTCCGGCCCCCAGGTGTTTTTCAGCAGCCAATAGGGTCCCTCCACGGCGTCCAAATTGTAACCCACGACAATCATCGCGTGATCGATATCTTCGCCGCAAACTCCGTTAAATAAACCCCCGCTGTATCCCCGAAAATCATTGCTATCCGTCGCGACGTACACCAACACCGGCTGCTGCGAAACCGCTTTCATAAGCGAAACCGAGCTCTTAGCGGGGACTTTCTCCCAACCGCTAACATTCCCCAGCTTCACCGCTCCCGCCTGCAACCCGCGGCACGATTGCCCATCCATAGCCGTATACGGGTAATCCGCCTCCCGCGCGACGCCGCCGTTGCTCATCGCGTATAGGAACACCCACTCCGGCCACCCGCCGCGGCAGCAGCTGCCCGTGCCGCAGTCGCACGCCTGCTGCGGCGCGAGCGGCACGGGCGCGGAGGCGTTAGTGGCGAGCGCCCAGAGCATGGAGAGGAGGTCCGTGGCCGCTAACGCCCAGCAGCTCTCGCACTGGAGGTGGGGAAAGGTAAGGGGGGGGGAGGGAGGGAGGGGGAAAGGGCCGGCCGGGGAGGGGAGGGGGGGGAGGAGGAAGATTGTTAAGAGCGACGGTGAGGAGGTAGCATGGTGGTAACGGAAGGGGGGGGGGGGGGGGAGGGGAAGGGGGGAAAAGGGGGAGGGGGGAGGTATGGGGAATTGTGAAAAAAGCGGCGGGAAAACGAACCCTAAACCGACTCAACGACCGTTCTGCCTGAAGCTTGAACCTAGCTGCACGTCCGTTCTGCACCGCACAAAACCCGACGGCACCGTCGAGCACACTCCCTTACCCCGTCCTGGAGCAGCAGGCCCGTGCGATACCGCGATGCGCGCCAATCGACGAACCGCAACTGCGACACGGTTTCGAAGCGGTACCACGGCTGGTTCATGTCGCCCGCCGTCGGCGGCGACCCCAGCGCGGGGGCCTGGATCGGCACCACCTCCCCGTCCGCGCCCAGCAGCAGCCGCCGCGCCCGCTCCACGTAACTCAGCCGCGGGTTCCGCGCGCGTAGCGCCCGGGACCGGCGCGGGATAAAGCCGCTGCTGCTGCTGCTCCGCGCCATGCTACTGCTAGTAACGCTACTGCTTATAACGGTGCTACGGCCGTTCCGGCCACTCGAGGTAACGCGTTCTAGGTCTGCCGTCGCTCCGCCATACCCCTCCCCCAGAAACACCCGCACGATCTTCTCTAGATCGCTAGGCTGCGGTGCGCCGTGCTTCGCGGCGGCCCATTTCTCCCGCATGTGCGCCTCGAACACACACGGCTCCTGTCTCTCCGCTACCGCGGCTTCTCCGCTACCGCCGCCGCCATCTGCGGAAGAGGGACCCCGCGATAAGTCTGCGCTACTACTAGGGCCGTTGCGGGTGGCTAGGGTTGCTGTCGGGAGGAGGAGGGCGACGAGGACAAGGACGAGGAGGGAGCTGGTGCTGCGGAGAGGGGAAGAGGATAGTCGTCTCCACATGAGAAAGATTGGAGATTGCCGGATGACGCCGATTGGAAATTGCTGGCTCATCCCTCGTGCCAAGCTAGGAGGTGGCGTCGCGGCCTGCATCGTGAGGAGTCGTGACGAGCTCGATCGCCGTTCGCGGCGAGAGCTTCGCGAGGGGTGGTCGGCGAGAGGAGTGAGCGCCGTTTGTCCGCCCCCGTCGGAGCGGCCGTCGAACCGACAGCAGAAGAAGCCTGTCCTCGTACCGCCCTCGACACAGAGTCTATTTTCAAGCGGAGTCGCCATTATTTGGTTCGAAAAGGTGGGCGTTCCTAAAACTTTCATCGTATTTCCGCGAGATGGCAGTAGAATATTGTATACCAGTCGCGTACTGAAGAGGAGCGAACTTGATAGGCAGAAGAACAACGTATCTGCAGGGCGCTTTATGCGGCTTTGCGCAACTCCAAGAAAGACTGTAGGGAGGCGGCTGTTACTTCGCAGATTAGCATCATCGATCGAGGACTCGCTCCCTCCCTAGGGTTTGTCAGCTGAACAGCAAGCTGCTGGTGAACGGCTGCTGCAAATAGCTGTTGGGGGGGGGTCTTTCGGCCGATTTTGCTGAAACCTCCTTCCCCACTTGCTCGCGGGAGTTCGTTTCGCTGCTGGGCGTTTTGGCGGCAGCCTAGCTGCCTTCCCTCCCAAGCTCCCCCAACTGAAGAGAAGAGAACCATTTGATGCCCTGCACTGCAATGCAACAGCTGGTGTAGTGGCCGTGGCGGTGGGGCAGAGCCAAGTCCCCAAAGTGAGCAAGGAATGCAGGGTGGGGGGGATGGGGACGGGGGAGGGGAGGGCATTTTCATCATTGGGCGAAAGGTGCTGCTGAAATGACAGCTTGACGCGGGGGGAGGTCCCAGCCCAGTGGGCCTGGGAAGGAGGTCTGATTCGGCACAGGGCAAAACTGTCGCTCCTGGTGAAAATGGTCGGTGTTGCCCTCCGTCCCGCACCGAAGCAGGGCAGGCGGAGAAAGAAACAGCTCCTGAGAAATGGACAAGTCGCGCAACAGCCAGAAACGAGAGTGACAACAAGTGACGCTGGAGTGCCCCGAGGGAAGTGGCAGCTCAGCAGCAGCAGCCACTGTGCCGCCCTTGTTGTGCATTGTGTGCTCATCGGGCAGGGGGACGAGCTCAGCGGGCAGGGGATGATGTTGAGGGATTGACATGACAACAAGCTTGTCTGCTCGATGGTTGACATGGGAAGAAACTTGTCTCGGTTCGGTTCGGTTGGTTCGGTTGGTGTGGGAAATCATCCATCTCCTCCACCACTGCTACTGTACACCACTTCAGATTCTGCAAGACCCTCCGAATCTCCAATCCGACCGCTATGAGGGTGTGGGTGTCGTCGATGTCAAGCACGCGTCTCGTCTCGTGGTGGAGATCTCGAAGCTCCCACTAAACCAAAGTGAAACACTCTAGACTGGAATGCTCGATGAGTTGTCCCTAACCTGCTGCATGATCCATCCCCACTACGGTCGCGTTTATGTAAGATCAGCAGGTTTGATTTGAGTACCGGGTAACCCGTTAAAGAAACTGCTCCTAACCCATTCCGTGCCCTGTTTTGTTGAAAGAACTGGACGGACGGACTCCGTTAGTTCATTCAGAAGGTCAGAACCTTGACAGAACAAGTACACAGTACCGGCCCTGAGGGTGTTACTTTGCTGGTGAGAAGCCATCAATCTTTCCACCGTGGAACCGATTTTCACAAAACTGTGACAAAACTATAACAAAATGCCCTCTGAAAACAATATGTGGGTAATGAGGTGTATGTAAATACGCGGTTAAACAAAACAAACAAGCCGATGGCGCAACTCGTCTGCTCCTTATTGTGAAAAATGTCCACTGACCACGTTGACCTGATCCGGATTGCAACACGCCCAGAACCGCGTTCTACGGCGCACAGAACGGTGGGGAATCCGCAGTTACAACACTGTGCGGTGTGAGTCAGCAGAGATCCATTGACGGACGAAATCAGCCAACAGCAGCTAAGTGCTGGAGACAAGGCCAGCTGAAAAATGAAGATAAATATGTAGTTGCCTTATGCATGTACAGAATCAAGCCCTATATAGTAGAACTACAAGCAATATCATAACTACACGTTCAAGGCCCTTAGGCGAATGCCAAATACGGGAACAATGTACGGTACCACTTCATGCCAACATATCCAGCCCCATACAGAAAAGCCAACCTACAACCCCATTGATGCACAAAAATTGCGGCTCATAGAAGTAGCATCCTGCACACCACCGCTACCAACACTCGATACTGCAGTTGCTGTCGTGGATGTTGACGCCAGCTGGCGGCAGAATAGAAATGCAGCTTTGATCCTATCCTCAGGCGCAGCGTCCGGAGCAACCACCGAAGCCAAGCCCCTCAGTTCCCGAGACACGGCCGCCTGTCGACCAATCAGATTCCAGACAGCTGTCTCCGCGTCCTGTAGCACTGGTGCTGGGATCTGGTGAACAGCAAGGGTGAGGTGGAGAACATGGGGCGAAGGAGCGTGGGGGAAGGAAGGCATGATAGGGAAGGAAAAGACGGTGTGGGAAGGAGGGGATACGCCAGGGCTAGGGACTGGAAAAGGATGATGGAGATGGCAAAGGATGGCTAAGGATGGACAGGGGAAGGAGGAGGCAGCTGTATGCTGGCGTGCACGAGAGAATTGGGTACAGAACATGACGATGATGCCTGGACCCCCCCTGTGCATGCCCTTGCAAATGCACATGCACATGCACATGCATGGGCTCACTAGAGAACACTCTCTACGAATCACACGGCATTGTAGCGTATCAAACCTATAACTCAGCGAATCAACGTCAAGCTCTCACCAGTGCGGACGGCCCCTCAAACGCCTCTCCGGCCGCCTGCACTGGCTGCAGCATCAGTGGGTTGGACAGCTGCAGCGATACTGCCTGCACAGACGCTGCCTGCACCGATGCTCCTTGCATTGACTGCACTGGCTGCACTGGCTGTCGCAGCCCCGCCGGGTTTGATAACTGCATTGATGGCGACTGTTTGGGCAGCTGCAGAGACACCGGTTGCACAGATCGGCGGGTCAGAGGCCTGGTTACATCTACTGACAGCAGAGACTCGCTAAGAGGTGACTCGTTAGTGTGCGAGCCGAGAGCCAGGGGCATGAGGAGCATCACGCTGAGGCCGACTGCTGCTGCTGCCTTGGCGAACAGTGAGGAGAGCGAGGAGAAGGGTTTCGGGGGTGGCGGGGTGGAGGGTTGGTCTGGTGCAGACGAGGACGGGGGAGTGGAAGAGGAGGAGGCAGGAGAGGAAGAGGCAGAGGTGGAGGAGGCAGAGGTGGAGGAGGCAGGAGAGGATGAAGATGGGGTGTTGGAGGAGAGGTGAACACTTGTGGTCGTTGCTGTCCCTTGCTCCCCCTTGCTCTCATCCTTGCTCTCCCTCCCACCAGATTGTGAGGCAGCTTTCACCACCTCTCCCTCCTTGCCATCTCCCCCTTTCCCGTCCGCTGCCTCTCCTGCCCGCCTCTCCTCTGCTCGCCGCGTCTGCTGATCCACTACCTCCGATGGTGAGGCTACTGATTCGGTCCCTGTGGTCCCAACAACAGATTCCGCTCCTAGGAATGCCGGCGAGGGTGATGCTGCTGATGCTCCATTCGCTCGTGGAGACGCAGACAGCGCATCTTCTGCTGCTGCTGCGACCGTTGTTGATGCTGCTGCTGCGAATGCAGGAGCTCCTGAGACTTGAGCGACTGAGGCTGCGGGTTCTGCGGCTGGCGGTACTCTTGCTCGTGAGGCCGAGGGAATGCGGGCGGCAAGAGGCGCCGCTCCTGACTCACGCCGCTTGGCATCTAGTGCCACCACAGCCTCCCGCAGGCAAGACGCTGATGCTAGGATCTCCTCCTCCTCCTGGATACAGACATAACACAAGGAGGCATGGATATATTTTATTCAAGTAAACAACCATGTGATGTGAAGACCCCCTTCTCCTCCTGGATACAGACAGACACAACACAAGGAGGCATCCCCTCCACCCCCCCACTACCATAATCTCACCTGTGAGAAACAATCCTTAATGGACTCATTTGATGCTGCTGCTGATGAGGATGACGATGACAGTGGTGTATGACAATCGAAGTGTGTTTACCTCTGACAAACGCTTCTCTAGGGACTCATGCTCATGCTGATGCTGATAATGGTAATGATATTGATAACGGTAATGATGCTGATAATGGTAATGATGCTGATAATGGTAATGATCTTGATAAGGGTAATGATGCTGATAATGGTAATGATCTTGATAATGGTAATAGTGCTGATAATGGTAATGATGCTGAGAATGGTAATGATGCTGATAATGGTAATGATCTTGATAATGGTATTGATGCTGATAAAGGTATTGATGCTGATAATGGTAATGATGCTGATAATGGTAATGATGCTGATAATGGTAATGATGCTGATAATGGTAATGATGCTGATAATGGTAATGACGGCGGCAGTAGGTTTACCTCTGAGAGCTGCTCCACTATGGGCTGATCTGGTGCGGATGACAGTGCGGCTGCATCCACTGCTGCTGCGTTCTTGCCCAGTCGGGTCACATGCTGCTTCACCCTGCGCACGGCATGCACATGCGACACCACATTTCGGATGCAGGAAGACAGTGTGAACACCGGTGGCACAAGCAGGAGACAAACGGGGAGGAGCCTAGGAGGGGTGAACACAGGATGAAAACGAGTGTGGACAGACAGTGCAAGCAAACCAATCCCATGCACCTGCATACCTCAGAACCACGTCTCCCTCCAGGATCTCCCTCCCCCTTCTCCCCCCCCCCCCCCCCCTTCTTCCCCCCCAAAAAAAACCCACCTGGACTGCATCCATCATACCTGGACTGCAGAGCAGCAGCCCCCCGTGACAGCTCAGCTGCCAGCCTGGCAGCACTCGGCTCCTTCTGCCCGCCATCCGCGCCCGCCGCCCCTACGGTGCCACCCATGCCGCCCATTCCTGCCATCCCAAGCAGCCTGAGGGTGCCAGCACTCAAGCCGTCAAGCAACCCGGCCAGGCCCCACCCCTCTCCCCTACCCAATACGCCAGCACCAGCAACACCACCAGCACCACTAGCAGTGCCAGCACTTCCCCGAGCCTGGAGTTGCTCCTCCAGCCGAGCCACCTTCCAAGCCATCTGCCGAACCTCCGACCTAGCCTTGGCGAGCGCACGCAGGCTTGTTGTATCCTTGTCCCGGGCAGCCGCAAGCTGCCCGAACAGCGCTGACATCTTTTCTTCTGCCCGGCCAAGCAGAGCCTGCGCCACGCCCTCCTTCTTTTGCAACTCCTTCACCTGCCCTTGCAGTGAAAAAACTCTCTGATTGGCCAATTCCGCTGCAGAACGGGCAGCTGAAAGTTCTTCTTCCAGCCTCCCTATCGCATCCCCAGTAACCCCTGGTGCTACCTCATCCAACGAATCAGAACCCGCCACCTGTCCCACACTGCTACCACTGCTGCCGCCAGCTCGCAGCAGGTTGAGCTGGTGGAGGAGTGAGGTGGATCGCTGGGTTGCTGACGTGGCCTCCTGTGTTGCGCTGGCGAGCTCTGATTGGAGGAAGTCCACCTGCGCGCGGAGAATGGCGAGAGACCCCTCCACCTCCTCTGCTACTGTGGACTGCAGTGGGGGCAGAGGGGAAGGGGTGGAGGAGAAAAAGGCAGGGCGGGGATGGGGGGAGGAGAAAAAGGCAGGGCGGGGATGGGGGAAGGAGGGGGGGTGGGGGGGAGGCAGTGGGGAGGGCAGGGGGGGGTTGTGGGGGGGGGGGAGGATTGCGGAGGTAAGGGGTTGAGATAAAGCAGGGTCTCTTTGAGATTTCTCAAAAACGCCCTGCAGAGAGCAACATAGAGCATGGCGAGAGGTCCACCAACCCCCTCTGCCCCCACTGGGAGAGGGGTGGTGGAGAAAACAAGTTCTCATGCCCTCCTTGTGAGTGATCACCCCACCAACCAGCCATGTAACAAACGAACCTGAGCTGAGAGGCTCTCCACTTTGCTTGACAGCACCCGAACCTCCTCCCGAGCCTCGGCCTCTTTCCGAGCCACCTCCTCCACCTGTTTCCGAAGCTCCTCCTGCCCGCCCCTCGCTGCCTCCACCGCCTCTTCCGCCGCCCGCTCCCTCTCCCGCCCCTCCGCCACCTGCCGCTCCAGAAACGCCAACCGCTCCCGCTGGGCCGTGCGGGCAGCAGCCGCCCCGGTCAACTTGTCCGCTAGCGCCACAACAAGCCCGGCAAGGCTCGCCTCATTCTCCACCGCATCAGCCAGCGCCGCTCGGGCCTGGACCAGAAGCTGCTTGGAACCTTCACCCCCCCGCACGGATCCCTCCGATTCCAGCTTCACAAGAAGCTTCTCGGCAGCTTCCCGCCTCTCCCTAGCATCCCTCTGCATCCTCTTGGTCGCCCCCAGCTCAGCGATTACCGCTTCTGCCCTCGCCACCGCCCCCTTCCACGCCTCCCTCTCCCGCCTCTCCCTCGCCTTCACCTCCTCCAACTCCCTCGCGACACCTGTCAGCGCTGCATTGGCCCGCGCCGCCACCTCATTCGCCGCCTGCTCCCTCTCCCGCAGCACATCCACCAACCGCGCAAAGAAGTCGCAACGCCCGTGCGCGATTCTAGAGGCTTCTTGAGCAGCCGAGAGATCCTTTTCTAACTGCTCCACCTGCAGCGAGAGCTCCTGCACTCGTGTCTGTGCTGCTCTCTCCCGCGCTGCCACCACTTCAAGGGCCTCATTCACCCGCTCCGCTTCCCTCCTCGCGTCCCTCTCTCGCCCCTCCAGCTCCCGAACCACACCCGACAGGAACCCTACCCTCTCCTTCGCCTCTGCTGCTGCTTCCTTGGCTGCTGCTTCCCCCTCAGTCACCCTCGCCAGGTCTTTTTCCAGGGTGAACAGAAGCTGCCGAGCCGACGCCGCCCGGTGCTCGGCCTGCTGCTGCGCCGCCCGGAGCTCCTGCTCCCGCTCGCGCCGCTGCCGAACCTCCGCTTCCAGAGCTGCCACCCGGTCAGCCTCGGCGGCTGCCGAACCTAGAGCTGAGGCCTGGGTTGAGATAGAAGAGGCAACTGCAGAGGAAGGTGTGGAGGAACCTTTCCGTGCTTGCAAAGACTGCAGTTGGCCGGCGAGTTGACTTGCCAGCTGGGTGGCAGCAGCCGCCTCTTTCTCCGCCGCGGCGTGTTTGTCCTGTAGCGCGCTGAGCTGGCCCAGGAAAAAGGAGATCCGATCCTCCGCCGCCCGGGCGGCCTGGTCGGCAGCTTGCTGCTTCTCTTCGAGGCGAGAGATGTGAGCCTTGAGCAGAGCAATGCGGTCAGACGAGGTTAGCTGGGGGTGCAACCCCAGAAGACAAAGACGGATAGGAAAGGAGAAGGGGGAAGGGGCACGAGGAACGCAAGAGACGGGAGGATGAGGTGTTTGAGGCGCGAGACGCGGGCTTTCAGCAGCGGATCCAAGCAAAGAGATGCGCATGCGGCACAGAGATTAGTGCATCAGTATGTGGCACAGAGATTAGTGCATCAGACGAGCGATTGGGAAGACACAGGAGGAGGAGATTAGTGCATCAGGCACGGCAGCGGCAGGCGTGGAGAGGGGCAGAAGGGGGAGGGGCAGAAGGGGGAGGGGCAGAAGGGGGAGGGGGGTAGACGGAGGCGGGTGAACAGCAAGGGAGGCAGCCAGTGCACAGAGCAACGCAACCAGAGTGGCGGGGAAAGAGCAGGTGCACACGAACGAACCAAAGATTGCAGTGCCCAGCTCACAGCGCTCACCTCAACGTCGTCCATTTGCTTCTCCGCTGCCCTTGCCGCCCTGCGAATGGCCGCCTGCACAGATGGACACACGCACGTGTGTGGTGGAGTGCGCATGTGGGCACATGAATAGGTGGGAACAGAGCCAGTCAGGGAAAGGCTTTGCAGGGTTGCACCATGTGCAAAAGCGATGCCGTTGACACAAGCGAAAGCAACGAGGCAGATGGCAGATGGTTGCACGAGGAGGTAATGCGCATGCAAGCATCCAGTCATGCATCAGCATCGACACACACGCACGCACCTTGGAGATGGCATCAGAGAGTGCCACGTCAGCAGCCACCATGCGCTGGAATCCTTCCGCCACCAGCTTGCGCTCTGCCACCTGGCAGCACGCCATTGGGCAAGCAAGGAAATGGATGACAGAAGAGCTTCTCCACCAAGACCAGCTTTTTCAGAAGGGCTTTGGCTCAAAATAAGAAGGGCTGCATTCAACGGCTTGTGACTGGGAAGCTGGCTGAAGACTGAAAACCGCAAGACCATCCCATCCCATCCCACCCCACCCCACCCCGTCCATCCAGCCCTTGTGCCAAGGCAAGACGCACATACAGTGCAGCATACGATGTGTGGCGGGCTGCTCACCTTCCAGTCATTGACGCTGGACCCGGGCACGCCCTGCGCTATCCTCCTTTGAAGCTCCTCCGCTGCTAGGTCGGTGAGCCGCCTCATGTTGCTGCCGGCAAGCTGCGCATGCGCCTGTGCATGCACATGCACATGCGCACACATGCACCCACATGTGCATGCACATGCAACCGCATATGTGCACAGACACAGCGGGAGTATTGCATAAGTATGCATGCACATGCAACCACATATGTGCAGACACAGCGGGAGCATTGCATAAGTATGCATGCACATGCAACCACATATGTGCACAGACACAGCGGGAGTATTGCATAAGTAGGCATGCACATGCAACCACATATGTGCACAGACACAGCTGGAGCATTGCATAAGTATGCATGCACATGCAAACGCAACGCCTGGACATCCAACAGGGGGATGGACACAACCCTTGAGCCACACCAACAGCCACACGCACCAGACTGCCATACCTGCGACTGCCGTACCTGCGACTGCCGTACCTGCGACTGCCAAACCTGCGACTGCCGTACCTGCGACTGCCGTACCTGACAATTCATATCATACCTTCTTCCAGACCCGCATGGGGGGGTCGGCAGCAGGGCATGCTTGGCGCATGGCGGCCAGCGCAGTGCTCACATCCTCGCCCCTCACGAAGGTCGTGTAGCTGCTCACACACGTTGCACACGGCGACACGTGGCACACAGAGAGGCGTGGCACACGGAGAAACGTGGCACACGGAGACACGTGGAGACACATAAGGACACAGATGAGACAGGGAGCTCACGAGGTCAAACACGAGTCGAGATGCGGAGCTTGAGAGGTGGCGTGTGAAGAGGCCAGGAGGAAGGCCGATCGGACACACCAGGAGGTGACAGAAATAGGAATGGGAGAGACGGAGAGGCAGAGAGCTGGGAACGAACGACGGGGAAATGGGGCGGGAAGCAGGGGTCGGGGGTGGCGGAAAAGAGGGGTTGTGGACGGTACCCAAGGGCGACGAGAGCACTGGCGGTGTGAGGGGAGCGGCTGATGACCATGACTCTGTCTGTGCCCCGTCGCCTCCAGCGACGCCAACTCCCGCACTGCTTACCGCACCCTCTCACCAATGGCTTGCTAGTGCGTGTGTGGGGGGGGTTGGGCTTACCCAAGCGCGACAAGCGCACTGGCGGTGTGGGGGGAGCAGCTGACCACCAGGACCCTGTGCCCCGTCGCCACCAGCGATGCCACCACTCGCACCGCTTCCAGCACCTGCGATACCACGTCCTCCCCCTCCTCCCCCTCCCCATCCTCCTCCCCAAAAGAACCTTCCAAGTCCGACTCCCCCGCTTCCCCCTCCCCCAGTGTTCCCCCCAGTGATCCCCTTCTCCCCTCCCCTCCCGCCTCTTCCGCCCTCCCCGCGTCTTCCCCCACCGCCAGCTTGAGCGCCACTCCCCCCTCTCGCGCCAGCTGGCGGGCCACGGCGGACCAATCAACGGCCAGGGATGACTCGTGCTCCGACGGCTGTGATTGGAGGGCGAAGGGGGGCGAGGGGAGAGAAGGGGGTGGGGAGAAGGGGAGGGGGAGAAGGGGAGGGGGGGAAGGGGAGGGGGGGAAGGGGAGGGGGGGAAGGGGAGGGGGAAAGAAGAGAGAGAGCGAGAAGGGAAGAGAAGCGGGTGGAGGGAGGGAAGGCTGGAAATTAGGGTTTGCGAAGGAACAAGGAGATACGGTCAAAGGGACTTTCTCCACAATGTGGACTTGCACGTGTGTAAGATGGGAGGAGAGGGGGAGTGCGAGGGGGGGAGAGTGCGAGAGGGAGGAGGAGAGGCGCTACAGGAAGAGCAGAAGGAACGACACAAGGCGCAAGTCAGCTACCAAGACAGGGACCTAACTAGATCACGGGAAACACCTACCAGTAACGAGACGACAGCTGTCACGCCCGCCCTGGACGCAACGACATCCACGTCAGCAGCCGACACGAGCGGCGAGCCTATGAGCACGTCCTTTGCCACCTGGCACCACACGATTGGCCACTCCGCCTCCATGTGAAGACTCTCCTGATGGCTCTGCGCCACCGAATCCCCCTCCCCCACCCCCTCACTGGCGGTAACCGCGCGGAGCATCCGCGGGTACGCCCCCGCGCACCTCTCGTCCCGCGGATTCTCCGCCACTCCGCCTCCGCTTCCCCCTGCAGCGCGTGAAAGCGGCGGAACGATCGGGGGGAGCGCGCGGATGGCGGAAACCAGCTGGAATTGCGCAACCATGGCGCTGCTGTCGCCCTCCGCGAACACCACCTCGTGCACATACCCCACCCCCTCCGCCCCCTGCCACCTATCCCCGCGCCGATTGACTGGCAGGATCCCGCTATGATCTCCAGCGGCACCGGCAATGCCCGCTATTTCCGGAACGTTCGATCCGTTCTGGCGCCTCCTGTTAGTAGCGATCTCCGGCGGGTGAAAACGGCTTTCCGACTGGTCTTTCTTGCTCACATCGGAACCGCTGAAATCCGACGGTCCACCGGCCGTCGCGCGGATCGCCAACGATCGCGATTTCTTCCCATCGCTTAGGCTGAGGCTGGCGGCTCGCCGAAGGAGCTTCGGTGAGTGACGGGAAAAGCGTGGGGACAAATGCCCTGCAAATGCTTGTTGATTTCTTCGTGGAGACCTAATAATATATCCAGGGCGACGTAGTCCTGCGATTGTGACGAAACCGCGACCATTGCGGAGGCGGCTTGTCAGTTTTAATCCTGCTGCACGGCCGGCTGGGGGGGGCGGCTGAATCGACGACCCCGCGGTAACGCGAACGGAGATGGGTGACATAGAAATGTCTTCCTGCCGCCACGTGGCAATAGATACAGTCTGTAAGGTTGCCATTAGGGTACGAGATGGCACTTAGCACCCAGGCTAAAGCATCCGTTTAGATAGGCAATAGAGCCGAGCCGTGATGGCGGCAGGCACGGAATTCTGTGCGGTTCGCCGGATTATCCACCAGACTGGGCTTCCGTGCCACAGACAGAAGCAGGCGAGCGAGTGAGAGAGCGAACTCCTCCCTATCGCTCTGTCAACTAGAAACGCAAAGCTGGAGGGAAAGCGGGTTTGTATCACCTCACCTAGTAATGTATCTTGGTTCCTGGTACAGTAGCTGCATACAGTATCGCCTAGATCTTGACTGAAAACCTTCGCAAGTGGTAACTACTAATTGGACGACTCGTTTCGCCTAGCCAATTTCAGTGGGCCCGCCAGAAAATATTTGTTCGCCAGCCTCACGACGTTCGCGGACGCGGAGGGAGGAACAGATAAAGTGGGATGAGGCTGCTTTTGCGCGCCAAACATCTTGCCACGTCATCGATGATATGCGGGAGCTGCCGTTTCCCTCAAGCCGCAGCCAAATCTGCCACCATGGACATTGCCTGCCCATCGATATAAGAGCGGGTTCCAATCTCTTTTGAAGCACTTCAGTTCATCCGTATTCTATGGTTCCTTTGGAGGGAATTTCCTTGTACGCAGTCAGAATACTTGGGGTTTGTAAGAGGCCACAGTTTATCGGAGATCAAGTTCAGGCCCTGCTTCAACAACGAACGTCCTGCGAGAACTGCTCCTTCGTTCATCGCTGCCCCATCAAATCTCGACAGTTGCTGCCCTCTCTCCATCATGCGTTACTTTCGCAATGACGGGCTAGGCACCGTACTGTATCGTAATTCACTGCCATCCACCTCGGTCACCAAGCGGGGCTGCTACTTCAGTAAACATTTCAGGTCAGTCTCAGAAGTTGCAATTCGCCTCACTGTGCCTTGCCATCCATATGAGGAAAATCCTATCTTCAGTTCGGATAGTCCACAGTGCTCCTCAAGGTCGTATTCCGTCGTACAAGTTAGTGCATGGAAGAGGCTCTCAAAACGACCTGCCTAGAGAGAACGTAAGAATGTCACCCTCCAGCATGGCAGCCAGGTGAGCGAATCGCGGAGAACTTCCCGCTCGAGTGATGCACGGCGGACGGACGCTGCAGCTTGCATGGCTGACGTGTTCGTTTCTGGTCCGAGATAAACTCGCGCAAAGCTGTCGTGCTTGCGGGAAAAGGCTTTTCGCCAGCTCGTCTCCTAGTACTGTACAGTAGCAGCTATCTTCTCTCCTGAATACTGTAGTGTGGAACAGCAGTGGGCCAGCATTCCCAGCTTCAACTTGAAGCTGTCGTTACTAGAGAGTGCGGCTCGACATGTTTCTTCATCATGGCGTTTTGCCGTCTTTCCCCAACACTGTTACCCAAACGTTCGACGCCATTGATTGGTGGCCGCATAAGAGAGCTGCTTCCGTTGATGGATAGACGGTCCACATCCAATGAATGGATGCCATGGTTGCCATGGCTGCTCCAACGTCTCTGCTGCATGCTTGCCTGTTCGTTAGGCAGAAGAGCTGTTTTTTTCGTCTCGAGGGGCCCTCGCATGGCGTTGCCATTCATCAGTCTCTACCCGGCGGAAGTACGCTGCTGTCAGTACAGTATGGATCCGCGAGCTTTACTGGGGAAAGACAGCCGACGCTGACGGAGGGTGGCTGCTTCGTCTTCGCATCCAGCGGCAGGCATCCTCCCAGAACTCCGTCCCTCCACTCCATCCCTCTCCCTGTCCGTCTGTCACGGACGGACACAGTGTCCACCATCTCCAAGGTTTGCACAGCCCGGGGCTCCCGGCTCCCAGACTAGGGAGGGCGATGACCGCTCGTCAGCACATCATACCAGCACTGACTGACTCAGTCACGCCCTTGGGAAGCTGGTGTGAGATTGTTGAGCCACGAAGCCTCCCTTTAGAAGCCGCTCTTCAGAAGCCTCTCTTAAAAGCCTCTTATCTGAGATCTGAGATCGGCTTACTGATTCCGCGTACTACGGAACGGCTAAACTAGCAGTACGTCAAGTACTTCAACTGTACTTAACTATTAGTACCGCTAGCGTGGCTGCTGCTGTACCGGGTAGATTCCGTCGATCTCTAGGTAACGTGCCACCCGTTCGCCGGGCCGACACCACCTAGTACTGCTACTGATGGCCGAGGCGCTCGTGCTTTTCGAATCTCCGGCTCACAACAAAATACTCCGCGCCACCAGTCGTGCCCCCCCCCCGCCAGCAGCAGCAGCGGCGGTGCTGGCGGAGAGTCGAGGCCACGTGGAGAGCCCCCAGCAGCCTCCAGCCGTGGGTCCCTCACCATCAAGGCCTAGCAGCGACCTGCAGGGGTCTCAGCAGCGCGGGTCGACGCAGCTCAGGTGCCACGTGGCGAGTCCCTGGCGGCCTCCAGCCATATCCTCACCCTCAGGGCCTAGCAGCGACCAGCAGGGGTCTCAGCAGCGCGAGATCGCGGCTTGGCCTGGTAGCAGTAAGCAGCAGAGGTCTCAGGGGCGCAAGTCAAGGCAGCTCACGTGCCACGTGGAGAGCCCCCGGCCTCCAACTGCCACGCTGGCCGAGGAATCTCCAAGGAGCCTCCAGCCTCCAGATCCGGAAGCTTCGAAGAGTGTTCGTCTGCACCACCGCAGGGCCAAAAGCGGGAGCATCTGCTACGACAGCCACGTCAGCAGCCACGTCAGCAGCCCCAGCAGCAGCAGCAACTTGTGCCTAGACCCGCCTATACGCGCTGCACCACGTGGCACGAGCAGTTGGCAGTTCAAAACACCTCCCAGTCCTCCCGGTGTTGCTGACGTGGCACCTGCCATCATGATGACGGAGTGCCCGTTGACAGCTCCTGCTACAGCTCAGGCCGCTTCTGGACAGGGGAAGGGGAATGGCAGCTCCCTGAACGGTCACAGCAGCCCTCGATATAATCACACCCGGCAATGCGGACAGGACAGCCCTCGAGACTGCCGCGCTTCTGGCGCTGGCAGCATTGCCCCGCTGTTCCCGTCAGCTGGCAGCGAACCGTCGCCATGTGGCGTGCTGAAAAGGAGTCCACGTGGACTCCCTCCCAGCAGGAGCAGCCCCAGCAGCAACAATGCTGGTAGCAGTAGGGCTGCTAGTAATATTGGTAACTTCAGCTCGTCTGTTACCAGCAAGAGCATGGTTACAACTGCTGACTCACATCCATTGTCATTTGCCCCTGAACTCTCTCCGGACGACTCGGACGAGGTTTGGGGGCCACGGTTTGGAGCCTCGGTACCCTTAGTACGGTCCCCAGCCTCCGAACCTGGCTGGTCTGGGCGGTTTGCTCCAGTGGACCTGGACGAATGGGGCTCTGCCACGTATGCTGCTCGGCCTACTCACGGCGTGGGTGTGGCCGATCCATTTGGTGTTTGTGACGGCAAGTTTGGGAGCGGCATTGCTGCTGACAGTGATCCTGCCGAGGGCGAACTGCAGCGGTTCTGCAGCGTGGGGCACCATCCTGCTTGTAGGAACCGTGGCTGGGGTGACCCGCACAGCGCTGTCTCTGCTCTGCACGTCCCGCTCTCTGCGCCGCACTGCTCTGCTCCTCCTCCTCCTTTGCACCACCGCAGCTCAGCCATGAGGCAGCAGCAGCAGCAGCAGCAGCAGCAGCAGCAGCAGCAGCAGCAGCAGCAGCAGCGTGCGGTTCACAGGAGATCGCACTCCCACGGCACTGCATTGTCACGCGCAGACAGCTCCGCTGCATCCCAAGCGCTCACAAGTCACCCGGGTCACCCAGCTTCGTCCCCATCCGTCACCTCGCTTCATGGCCGAGGCCGCAGCAAGGCGCTGAAGCACCCGCCTCTCCTTCAGGGAGAGCAGAAGGGGCAGGGGGGGCAGGGGGAACAGAGGCAGCAGAAGGAGCAGAAGAAGCTGAAAGGTCAGAAGGTGCCAGTTGAGCTAAGCAGTGGCGGCAGCAGGGGTGGTGGTGTGGGTGGGGGTGGGGGTGGGGGTGGGGGTGGGGATGGGGGTGGGGGTGGGGGTGGGGGTGGGGGTGGGGGTGGGGGTGGGGGTGGGGGTGGGGGTGGGGGTGGGGGTGGGGGTGGGGGTGGGGGTGGGGTTGGGGTTGGGGGTGGGGGTGGGTGTGGGGGTGGGGATGGAGATGGGGGTGAAGCGAGTGACTCGGATGACGATTTCATTGGGTTCTATGCAGCTGTCATGCGCAGCCATGCTGCAAGCATGAAGCGCCATGCCGCCAGTGCCCAGCTGGGAAGCAGCTGGACTGGCAGCAACAACAGAGGAAGCTCCTCCCCTGTGAGCAGTGCAGTAGTGGGTAACAGCGGCACTGCGGACAGCAACCTAGGCAGCTCTAGGGCTACAGCGCGCGCGGCTTTGAGCAACAATAAAGGAAGCTTCTCTGCCAGCAGCCCAGGAGTGGGTAACGGCGGGACTGCAGGCAGCATCCTAGAGAGCTGTGGTGCTACAGTGTGCCCGGCTTTGTGTGAAGGCACTAACTTTCCTGCTACAGAGTGGGGTGTGCAGATCAGTGGTTCTGGCACCAGTAGCAGCAGCATCACCAGTTGGAGTAAAAGCAGCGTCCGTCAGACCAAGAGCAGCAGCAGCACTCAGAGCACCAGCAACAGTATCTCTGAGAAGGGAGGGGGAGAAGAGAGGAAGGGGATGGAGAGGAATGGGATGGAGAGAAATGGGATGGAGAGGAATGGGATGGAGAGGAATGGGATGGAGAGGAATGGGATGGAGAGAAATGGGATGGAGAGGAATGGGATGGAGAGGAATGGGATGGAGAGAAACGGGATGGAGAGGAATGGGATGGAGAGGAATGGGATGGAGAGGAATGGGATGGAGAGAAATGGGATGGAGAGGAATGGGATGGAGAGAAATGGGATGGAGAGGAATGGGATGGAGAGAAATGGGATGGAGAGGAATGGGATGGAGAGGAATGGGATGGAGAGAAATGGGATGGAGAGGAATGGGATGGAGAGGAATGGGATGGAGAGGAATGGGATGGAGAGGAATGGGATGGAGAGGAAGGAGAGGAGGGATGAGAGGAAGGCGAGGATGGCAATGCAAGAGGGGATACAGAAGGAAACAGCGAGGAAAGAGGGGAACCCTAGGAGTAGCTTGACTCTAAGAAGCAGCCTTACTTTGGCGAGCAGCGTCAGCGCGAGCATCCGAACGAGCATCAGCAGCAGCCTTGCTGGCCGGTGGAGCCAACGACTCAGGAGGAGCACCAGCAGCGGGAATAGCAGCGGGAGGGGCAGCAGGAGAAGCAGCGGGAGGGGCAGCAGCACCCAAACACGAGGTTCGGCAGGTGAGATGTGTGAGGCACAAGGCAGTGAGAAGGCGAGTGAATTTGGGAGTGGCCGGGGGAGTGGACAAGGGAGTGGACAGGGAAGAGAGGGCAGGTCCTGGAGGAGGAGCAACAGCTTCGGCCTCAGCAGCATCGCCAGCAGCATCAGCAGCGGATTCCCGTGGCACTCAACTGATAGCGACAGCGCCGTAACGCCTGGCAGCGTCACTAGCAGTGGTACCGATGTTACAGTGGTACAGGTGTTACCAATGGTGCCAACACAGGCACCGGTGCTTTTGCCTCCGAGTCTCGACCACCCCGGGCCAGGAGGTCCCAGAGCTGGGTGAGGGTGCGGCAGCAGCCCCGCAATCCGTGGGAGGCAGAAGGCATTGATTACAGCTCCAAGGGGAATAGTGCTGAGAAGGGTGTGAAACTTGATGGCCAGTCAACGGAGTCAAAGGGGTCAGTGGGGTCAATGGGGTCAAAGGATGACCCAAGGACGGGAGGCAAGAGCAGTAGGCAAGGCCATGACCTTCATTCGGCTGAGGTGGCAGAGGGCATGGCGTGCTCTTTTCATCATCAGCCGCACCTGGAAACACGCCAGGCAAGGTGCTCTCATAGGGATGATACTCTACAAGGGCATGGCAGTGGGAATGGGCATGGGAATGGGAATGGCCATAGGCATGGAAGCGGGTACCAGCAGGCAAGCAGGTGGACCTTGAAACAATCACACAGGTTTTTGAGCCGGTTGAGAAAGGAAGTAACGTTCAAGGGAGAAGTTGAGCACATCTTGTAGCCGTGAAAGGTTTTCGAGACCAGACAGCAAGCGAAAGGCTCAGAGATGCACACAGATATCTCTGTGGATTTCATTTGTTTCCGCTTAGGGTCCCAACCTGTATGCAACCTGCCTATTATATGGATGGAGCTTGTTTGATTTCATTCTACACATTGGATTCGGCTTCTATATACGGATTATAAAAATATTTGAAGTTGTATTATACACTCACAGAACCAGCCAGATCGGACCAAGCCAGAATCCGTTCCTCTTCAGGGCGCCACGCTTTCGAGCTGGAAAATCCTCCTGATCCGACGAATCCGAGGACCATTGACGAACCCCCAGAGATTTGAAGCATACTGTACCGCAGTTACAGGTGGCTTGGGTGGTTCGCAAGCAGTGCAAGCAAACCCCCATGCTCTAGTCTTCCCTAAACTGGGCGGAAGACTAAGCAGCTCTCATGCAAACGCTCCAGGCCTTGAATCTTCTTCTCACTCCTAGAATTTTCCTGCAGATCCGTCCAACCAAACCGCCTTAGTCCGCTCCGTACGTACCAGGGGTGTGCATTCTTCCCCAAGGAGCTATTATTCACGAACCACGATTCGCTGGCGGATCAGGGGGCCACAGTCGCCGGTTTCCGTTAAATTCACGAGCTCGCGAACGCACGTGAAACTTGGAGCACCCTAGGTTTTATGAGTTCTCGAGGTTGTATGAACTTTGTCCCAGCTGTCGGGTCCATCGCAGCTGTCCGTGCGTGAATCTCGACAACAGTGGAAAAGTGTGGCGCTGGCTACTGATGTATAGTTGCGTGTCGATCTGCCGCCTTATCCCTCTGTAACTCCCGCGTCGTCTGCAGCTCCGTCCCCTGTGTCTGAGCCTGGGTGGCCGACGAGATGGTCTGGTCGGAGCTTCCGCACGGAGCAGCAGCAGCAGCAGCAGCAGCAGCAGCAAAAGCCATCTCCAAAAAGTGTATGACCCACACCTCACCGCCTCGGAGGCATCTCCTTTTTGTACCTTTCAAGTCACCTCGATGTGACAATCGGGCCACATTGTTGTCAGTGTGGCACGTGATGCGCGTGCCACATTTCTCTCGCCACTCCAACCCCTCCCCCTCCAAAACCGCTCGTTACACTTCTTCACCTACCCCAACCCATTTCCCACCAACCAAACCTCCTCTACCTACCAAATTTCCAACCCAACTTTTCTAGCTCATCTCCTCCAACCTAAGGCCTCCCAACTACTCCTTAATTTCCCCAACTCTCATAATCATTCCTAGTCCACCTCAACCAAGCTTCCAATCAATCCTCCTATTCGTCTCCAACTCCCACCTCAAGGCACATGACTCTTCATCATTTTTCATGTGCTCTCTCTTCCTACTCATCAAGAATTCTCCAAGTCATCTACTCCAACCAATAATCCTCCTCACATATAACTCAAGCACATTCCTTCCTTCCCTACTCATCAACCTCCACATGCCATTTATTTTTTCCTTCCTTCCTTCCTATCTCAAGTCATCCAAGTTGCCATATCATCACACAAGACTCTCATGAATCCTTACATTCCTCACCTTCCAACTCAACAAATCTTTCATTCCTCCTCCTTTCCTTCCTTTCCAACTCATCCTAGTTTCTCTCCAACACCACATGGTTTACAACTCCAAGCCACCAAAGGCTCAACAACCATCCCATGCTCCGCTACTATTCATCTTCACCAAGAATCCTCTCCAACTTCTCAAGAATTTTCTCAAAGTACAACAAGGCATCTCCAAGCTCCTCTCCTTCAAGCTCCCCTTCAATTCTTCTTCAAGCTCCTCAAGTTCACTCCACTAAAAAGGCTCCTTGTTAGCGTTCATGTTCCATGTCTCTAGAGATGGTATTACCATGCTACATTTCTTCCTAGACTACTATGAGTGGTATCTCTCTCATGCATGTCCTTGTATCCACCATGGATTATAAGGCTTGTACTATACCCTATTTCATATAATTTTATGCTCTCAGAGTTCTCTCACAAAGTTACTAGATTAGCAAAGTAATCAAGCATTTGTCCACCTTATACCCAACTTGAGTATAAGATGCATCACCAAGCCACAAGCTTGTAGTAAGATCCTCTTCTTCAACACTCAACTTTGTGGCACCCTCACTCTTCAATTACAAGGCCCTCTCCTTCAACCACATCCAAGATTGTGGTCTCTCCTCGAGCTTGTGGTCTCCTCCCAAGCTTGTGGTCTTCTCTCAAGCTCAAGATCCTTTCCAAGTGCAAGTCCTCCTCTATCAAGAACCACTCCCAAGATCCTACATCTCTTTTATTTAGTATGACATACATAAGTAAGTCTTTCACTCTTCTTCACAAGCATCACTCCCTTGACAAGTCTCTTTTTACTCGCTTGAGTACCTTTCCCTTATTTCTTACAAGCATATTGTAATCCCATTTATATGCGCTACAGCTCTACTATTGCACTCTTGTCCTATTCAACCATGCAATTATACTATTTTGTCTTTATCTAAAAATTTATCTAGTGTCAGAGCGCGTAATATCCTCATTCCTTGCTTTCGCAAAGCCTCTCATTAAACCCAAAAAAAGGGAAGAAAAAAAAAAAGGCATAAAAGGCTCCACACTCACCTCCCTCCTTCTCCATGCCTCCCACAGTCAAGTACGACAGTCAAAAGCGCACCACTTCACAAGAGGAATCTAACTCCTCCGAAGTGAGTGGCGCCAAGATAAGAGAAGTGATACCGCATCAACCCCGTCTCATCCCAATCCCCCCTATATCCTAATGTCTTCTCTATTCCCACTTATTCCTAAGCTAGAAGTGCCACGGTTCAGTGGAAAGGACTTCCAAACATGGAGCATCCGTTTCCAATTGGCCGCCACTCTCCTAGAGTGGTGGCCCGTTTATTCTGGTTCTGTTTCTCCTCCTTCTACTGAAACCCCTCAAACAGAACAGTCGGCATGGGTAAAGAAGAATGCCGAAGCCTACCTCTACCTTCTCAACTCAGTTCAAGACCAGTACACCAAGTCGCTACTGACATGCACCAGTCATCGCAACAATGCGAAGCCCGCGTGGGAGAGACTTAAAAGGCTCAATCAACCATGCACCGAGAGCAGGAAGGCAGAAATGTGGGGGAAAATCTGCAACTTGCGAATGGAGCTAAAGAGGCAATCCCCAAGTACTTGGAGCGGGCGGAGATCCTCCTCAGCAACGCCGAAGTCATCGGAGTTGTCGTCCCAGAGGAGCTCTTCCTCACCATCCTGCTCGCCGAACTTACACCCGAGTGGACCCATATGAGGAGCACAATTCAAGCCTTTCATGAGGAGCAAAAGTCTTGCGACTTCACCTTCAACACCCTCATTGGAGAGCACCAGACTCGCGCGCTAGCCAAGACTAAGGAAGAGAACAACAAGCCAGTATGGGCCGCTGCTGTGTCTACTCAAGGTCACGGCAATTACAACAACAACCAAGGCAAGAACTTGCAATCACAACTGAGTAAGCCTCCAACCAATCTATTCTAGGTCGTTTTCCCTCGTCCAATACATCTCCCCAACCAATCATTCTCTTCAAGTTCATCCCAGTTCTCCAAGCCTCTGTCTGGCAAGTTCAATTATGCATGTCATTTCTGTCATGAATGGGAAAACCCTTGGTTCAAGTGCCCTCGTAAGCCACCTAATTGGACCCTCCACCTCACATGCTTACAGCCAAGGGTAGAGCTGCTCTATCTCATGATGTAAGCTCTCAATCAGAGCCTGCTCAATTCCCCTCAACTCACCCCTCTAATCCACAGCAATTCCCCAGCAACCCTTTCCCTATTCCTATTACCCAGTGCAGCCATACCCAATGTTTTACCCTCCACCAGTGCAAGGCTACCCATTTACGCCTCAACAGGCCACACAATTCACGACTCCCAACTCTGCCCCCTCTTCTTCCTCCCAAGGCACTACACAAGGCATCAGCTTTGCCATGACTACCTCTGCTCTACTTTTCATTCATCCCAGCTACTGGTACTTGGATAGTGGGTGTAACCATACATGACACCAACTCTTCTCTTCTTCATTCTCTTATCCCCACATCAATCTCGTCAGTCACAGTTGCCAACATGGGAGTCCACTCCCACTACAGGCGAAGGAACACTCACCTTTCTCAACTCTGCTGGCAAGCCTGTCTCAATCGCAGGTGTCCTCTTGGTCCCCAACCTTGGAGCCAACTTGCTGTCAGTAGGGCAACTCGAGGAGAAAGGTTGCACTATTTCCTTCACTAGTGGTTCTGTGCAGATTCGCGCAGAGTCGGGATTCGTCATTGCACGTGGTGAGCGAGCGGGATGCCTTTACCGCCTCCAACTCGATGTGAACCCGGAGTACCGCCGCCTCCACGGTTATACCGCCGCTGCAGCAACCACCGTCAGACCACACCCAGGTACGACCACTACTCCCCAAATGTGGCATTATCGTCTAGGTCATCCAGGAGAGTCAGCCATGAAGTCAATCACAGCTCATGCAAGCCTGGAAGGCCTCACTATCACCTCAAGTTCACAGTCATCCTCCTCATCTCTCTTGCCCACGTGTTGAAGCAAAGCATGCACATCATCCTCATCCCCCATCAATGTGCAAGTGTCAAGTCCCCTAGAGTGGTCCACAGTGACATTGTTGGCCAGCTCGCACACTCAGTCGCACAGGCAAGCGCTTCATTATGACTCTCATTGATCATAAGACGCGCTTTGCATGGGTCTTCTTCTTCTCTCAAAAGACCAAGTCCCTGATGCATTTAAATTGGCAAGTTTACATTGAGAGGCAAACAGGCCTCAAAGTGAAGGCCCTGCATTCAGACCGAGGGGGGAGTACATGGGTAAGTCATTCCAGTCCTATCTCTCATCCCTTGGCATTGGTCATAACCTTTCATGTCCATACACCCCAGCAAAATGGCATTGCTGAGAGGTTTAAGCACCTTGCAAGAAATTGCAAGATCCCTTCTCTCCATATGAAGCTAGGTGATGCATGGTGGGGAGACGCGTGAACCATGCCGTTCATCTCAAGAACCGACGGCCAACCGCTGCTCTTCCGTCAGTATAACCCCGTATGAAGCATGGTATAGGGCAAAGCCCGACGTTACCATGTTAAGGGTGTTTGGGTGCATGGGGCAGTATCGCATTCCTGATGAGAAGAGAGGAAAGTTTGAGAGCAAAACACG